CCATGGAATTTTACTATCAAAACTGAATGCGTATGGTCTTGGGGGTGCTGTGGGTAATTGGTTTAAGTCTTATCTAAGTGACCGCAGTCAAAAATGCTATGTTAATGGTCACCTTTCTAACAATCGTACATTACTCTGTGGTATTCCACCGGGGACTATTTCAGGACCATTGTTATTTTTACTGTATATAAATGACTTACCAAATTGCCTTGAGCACTCCCAAGCACGAATGTACGCGGATGATACTAATTTAACATTTGCAAGTAACAATATTGACGACATAAATTATCACCTTAATCATGACCTTGCAAATGTGAACAAATGGCTTATCGCCAATAAGCTTACTTTAAATCAATCCAAAACTGAATTTATGCTAATTGGCTCACGACAAAGAATAGCCACATTTCGATCAGTTCCATGTTTAGAAATAGACGGGGTTCCTATTGACAAGGTTTTACAAGCGAAGTCTCTCGGAGTGTACCTTGATGAGAATCTATCTTGGAATATACAAATTAATGAATTAACAAAAAAGATTGCTTCTGGTATTGGCGCTTTAAAACGTGTTTGATCATTTGTCCCAGTCGCAACTTTGCAATTAATTTTTAATTCCTTGGTTCAGCCATATTTCAATTACTGTTGCACAGTTTGGGACAATTGCAACAAAACCCTAGCTGAAAAACTTCAAAAACTACAAAATCGTGCAGCGAGAGTACTAACATTCTCGGCCAGTTATGACACTAATGCTGATGTTTTAATTGAGAAACTTGGCTGGAAAAAATTATCATCCCAGCGCCAGTTTCAAAAATCTGTCATGGTCTATAAATCATTAAATGGTCTTGCTCCTGGTTACATGCATTCCATGTTTGTAAACCGTGACAGTGTTAATCCTTATTCGCTGAGAAACACTGAGAGCAAACTAGCTGTTCCCAAGCCCCGCACAAACTATCTCAAGAATAGCTTTAGCCTATAGTGGTGCGGTGCTGTGGAACAGTCTTCCGATTGGGCTACGGCAAGCAAATAACTTGATAAATTTCCGATCGGGCTGTGCCAAATTATTTTAACTTTCTTTGTATATATTGTTATATTAGCTTAGTACACGGCCCTCATGAAAAGCAGGTATTATATTTTCTATTTACTTTAGCGTGGTTCTACTTTTGTAATTTATCTAATTTAGTTTGTTGCATGTTAAATCCTGATGAGAATACCGTGTGTAAATAAAGTTTTAATAATAATAATAATAAAGTTGCGTACGCAGAATGGTAAGCCTCGGACATATTAACCGAAGCGGCCCCAATTGGTTTAAAGGCTCTTGCAAAGTGTTCTTTACGCTGATGCCACCAATTTAACCAATTCACTAAGAATCCTCGCTTTCTCGGCTTCTTATTTATAAATGTATTTAGTTCGTCAAAGGCTTGTTCAAAGGCCACCGCTGTTACTGAAGTTAATAATTTATCTGCGATTTTTTTAAATTTTGTGCGTGATTTCAAGCTATGCAAATGTTTGCTCTGTCGTGTAACAGACTGTTTAAAATGAAATTCGCAACTCACTGTCTTATTAACTGCTTCGTTCCCATATACTGTCCGGATAGATGCCCAATTTCCCCCATGCTCGTCAACAGCCCAACCAATCGGATTGAACTTGTAGCCTTGTTTACCAGAAAAGTTCTCCAAAACTTCATTTAATAATGTCCAGAAAATCACCATTGTTTCTGTACTCTCAGTTTCACATTCCATCGTAGCAATTTTAACTACTTTCCGTAAAAGTTCTAAATATACATGTGCATCAAGAGTCACAAACCCAGGACAACGTTTAAATGTTCCGTCGAAATAGCAGTATTCACTTGCTAAAAAGTCGTTTCCGTCGCAATCCATTGCGACTGCTAGCTTTGCTTGAATTTTGCTCATTTTGAACACGTATGAAGGTTCTCCGTTCATGTTACGGTTATTAATTTTATAAAGAAGATAAGGATCCTTTTCTATTAAACGGCTTCTCAGTTCACCCACTGCTTCAAAACTATGCCCGAATGGATTGGCTTCGTTTTGCGTTTTTTGTTTGCAGTACTTAACCTTGCCTTCTTCTATTACTGAGTCCACTACTTTATGTACATCATCCCAAGTCATGTCTTTGTCATATAATGCTTCAACAATTATGTCATCTGCAGCCTGCCTTGGAGTTGTCTTTATATTCTCCGTAAATTTCCTTTTTAAACCTTCATCGTTGAAATAAATCGGTTGTTTTGCTTCACAAGCATGTGAGCCTGAGTGGTAAACTGTCACAACATTTTCGCAGTCATTGAATTCCCAAATCTTTTGCACTCAAGCAAATTCGGGAAGTGTCTATATGGACTGCGCTATTGATGTTTGAACGCTGAACTACTGTTTTTGAAAATGCAGAAAATTAGCATAAAACAACACTTATAATTACAATTACTGATGTAGTTATAATTGTTAATTTTTATGCACAAGTTGCTGCAACTTCGAACAGCTAGCAGTTGACTTCAAATTACGATTTGAAGTTTGCCGTTTGCGGTTAGTGGTTTGCTGTAAACGTCAATCTTAAAGTCCCTAATATATATAATACGTCGGCTGAAATAAAGCGTATTGAACCGTGATTGAACGAAACGCGATCCAAATGACAATTTAATTTGTTTGGGATCAGATCGATTAACCGTAACTCGTTTACATCTTTCAAACGTTGGGGCTTAACTCGAAGAACAAAATGTTTGACTTTGCTCGAGTTAAGCCCCTATTTTTTAGAGGGCTTAACTCGAAGTACCTAACTCCAGTTGTGTACTTCGAGTTAAGCCCTCAACGGAAATGGGCGTGGCATGGGCGTGGTCGGGGCTTAACTCGAAAGGGCGTGGTCGGGGCTTAACTCGAAGGGCTTAACTCGAGGGGCTTAACTCGAAGATTTGCTACCCCCCTGGGGGCCAGTCGAAGAAGTTTTCAAGCACAAACTCTGACTTAGTAGTCACATGGCATAAAGGTAAAGCAAAATCAGTGCTTTTTAAAGGTAGAGACGGTGTTTCGGTGCGAGATCGATGTATATTGCTTTGCGAACAAGCAACTCAGTCCATGCTAAAGCCACATTTGTCAGACCCCAATGAAATTAAACTCTCGCAGCAAAATATTACAAGTGCGTGTGATTGTACTAACCTATCGGACAGAAATATGAATGTCGCCATCGATTCCCCTTCCCCGGTTGAAAGTATACAAGGCAGAACTATCCATCGTTCAGCTCCCGCTTTTGTCAATAATCATTGCCAGACTGAGCATATGGAGCTGAATAATAATAATTGTGGTTGTGACTGCGGAATTCTGGTTGCTGAGTTTGAAGGAATAAAGCTTGATTTAGTTATTTTACAAAAGAAATTTGAGACTGAATTTGCGACCGAACGTACCAATGTAAGCCAACTTAAGCGAGAACTTGCTCATGAAAAAGATAAAAACAGTCGTCTTGAGTCGGAATTGACTTTGTTTGTGAGAGAAAGAAATGCCGAATTCGATGAATTGAATGAACCAATAGCCTTACTTAACGACAGAATCAAAACCAGTGAAGCGATTATTGATCAACTGAGACCTTCTAATGCAAGCATAAATTTGGAAGAAACATGTACTTTTGATTCTGCTCAATCAAAAGATGAACTTGTCAGAAAATATCCAGTTTGTGTTGACATTAGTACACAAACCAAGAATAACGATCAAAAATTATCTAATAATAATGCTGGTCAGTTTTGCATGAGTGAAAATGCGTATGTTAATCTCCTTAATAAGGTTGCCGAAGTGCGCAACGAAACGGCTCATTCCATTAGTCAACCTCGCATAAATAAAAACGTTAATGCGAATTCCTCTAAGCATTTGGTCGCATGTCCATTCCTATTAAAGAAAGGACATTGTTT